TGGCTTTTCTGCAGCCGACTCAGCCTTGGGAAGTGATCTTGTTATCGATTCTGTCAGCTCTGCAGCTGGACATTGGTGCTGAAGAGGTGTGAGCAGATACTCACTGATGCAGCAGCCAACTAGCTAGTCTTGGCCTAATCCTTTCCCTTCATCTACCTCAGTTACCTCTGTTCACCCCCATCAGCCGGGGTCCTGTCAGGAGCCAGGAACCACACAGTCATTTGAACAGGGACAGTTTTACTAGGGAGAACTATTTTCTAGTAATGAGAGATCAACTACACAAGGGCGAAGAGAGCTGTGAGGAATACCCTGGGCCGAAGGGAATGTGCCCAGGGAGGGAACAGGCTTGGAAGGGAGGCCTCCCCCCGGGCTGGGAGTCAGACTTCCATGGGCAAAGACGGGCTGTAGTAGCACGTTGGATGGAAGAGAAGTTCTCCGGGATGCCTCAGGCCAGGGCTGGTCCGTGGCTGCCAAGGTTGGCAGGCGGGGAAAGGTGGGCTGGACGGGCAGGCTGGATGTCTGTTGTAGGGTGCCAGTGAGCTGAGGTTGGGGGTGGAGGGTCGGAAAACCCCAGAGACTGGTAAGTTTAGGAAACCCCCCAGGAGCATGAATGTGCCTCAGAGCTGGTAGATAAAGAACCATGGCCATGACTGAAAAGAAAAAACTCCCTCTGGAGTGCAGGCGAGCCCAGTTTGGGAAGCTTCCCATTCAGGTGCCTGGGAGGTTCGCTGGGAAGGAATCTGCCCACGGAAGTGCAGCTGACAGTAAATGGGAAGTTGTCCTCAGAAGGAGGAAGCGGGGACGTAGCACCACCAGATGTCCCCCACGTGCCTTGCTGGCTACGAGGCCTGTAGGAGCTAGAAGAACCATAGCACATCTGGACCAGAAACCAGAGCCTCTTCCTCTGCAGTGAGAGGCTCCCCAGCGCCCTCTGTTGTCAGAGCTTAATACTGTGTCAGCTGCAAATGGGAAATGCTGTGGATCTGGCTCTGAAGCTGCTTTTGAGGCTGAGAGGCAATAGATAGATAACTGACACATTGATAGTTCTTTTTTGCCTAAATCCTACAATTGTATTCCTCCTGCTTCCTGCTACCACAGTTAAAGTTACTATGTAACCTGTTTACTTGGATCCTTGGCACCTTTGTAAGGAAGTAGTTGGACTCATGCTTGCTTTTAGAAGGTTGTGACTTCTCATCGAACATTTAGAAAGGAAGATATCTGTGCATTTAGGAATATTCTAAGGAATGTTGGGAAATTTTCATGGTAATTGTTTTCCCTGAAAATTCATGTACATGAGTAATTAAAAATAAATAAAAACATAATTTGAAAAAGTATCTAAGAAGTTGATGAAGTTGTATCAATGAAACGGGAAGATAAATTGTTTTTACAGGTAAGATATTGGAGATAAGAGAACATGAAAGATAGTGAAATAAAGGAAGAAGACAAAATTGCTTGTATTTTCTTTAGAATAGCAGAACACCAAACCTGTATTCTTTCTTCTTTTGTGACTCAGGACAGTGAGCTCATGAGTTCATGTATATCCACCTAATGGCTTTTTCTGTAACATGATAAAAGGCAGTTTTCGTCTCTAAAGGAGCTGACAGATGTTAGGAGAAACAAATCAAGTACTTTTTTTTCTTATCAGGGGAAGATACTTAATTCAGCAAAATAAACAGGCAATGAGGAATGTGAAGAGGATGTGAAGGGGTCCAGCGGTGGCATAAATACGACCTTTGCTCTTAGGGAGCTTACACTCCTACTGAGAAGACAAGCTTCATGCCTAAAATAAAAATGACCACACAAGAAGGTTCCAGATAAATGCTTTTGGAACCCAGTGAAGGTAGCAAGTGTTACAGACTCTGGCTGTGGAGGTCTGTGTATAGGGAAGATGTTTTGGGCAGGGATTTGAAAGGACTCAGAGTAGGTGTCCTAGAGTGAGAAGAGAGGAAGGCATTCTTAATAGGAGAAGTAGGACGAGCAAATTTAAAGGAAACCAGCTTGACTCACGGGCCAGAGTCGATGTCCGTCTTACTGCTGTATTTTCACGGCACACAGAAGGTGCTTAGTAAGTACCTCTTGGATGAATAAATAAGCTGTGTAAGTAAACCAGTTCATCGGATCTGAGACTCCATGGCAGTGAACGTTGGGAAACATGATCAGAGACACTGGAGGAAAGACCTCACAGGAGGGAGTGTGCAGAGGAGTGTACAGGGCTCTGAGTCAGATTTTACTTTACATTTTTTTCTATGATGATTCTGGGAAGAGGGCAAGTCAGGGATTTTGAATGGAGTCCAGGGAAGCTGTTGGGAGGGAGGGATAAGCACCTGATCTTTCCAAAGAACAGTGCACCGTGACTTCCCATGATTAAGTCACTGTTGGTGCTGTAGCATGCCTCTCACGTCAAGTAAATACAGAGCCTTGGTGTGCTGTGTGCCTCATTAGTGCTGTTTCAGAGTTACACGTGTTCGTTACAATAGGGTACATCTTGCCTTACTGCTTTATTTTCTCTTTCCTAAGGCCCAAGTGCAAACTAAAGAGCAACTATAAAAGTTTGGAAGGATCTTTCTATCTTTCCAAAAAAAAGAGTCCTGAGCTTATATTTCAGTGTGTTTCATTAGAAGGAGAAAGACTGCAGTTGGAATCACTTTCCCTGCATCCAGCTCTAACCACCATTAGGAAAATAGCTTTTTACTGTTGAGCTTCTCGAGCAGCTGCCTGTGGCCAAGAACCTGGGGAGCTGTCCTCTCTCAGGTACAGCTTTCTGATTCCAGAAGGCAGTTGTCTGGTGCTGTCAGGTGTCATGAGTTCTTTAATGCCTCTGTTTTTTATTTTCTCTGTATCCAGAGTAAAATAAAGAAACGATCCTGGGTTCTTCATGAGTGTTTGGAGAGAGTTCCTGAAACTGTGGATGCTGCAAAGGAACTGCTTCAATATGGATTAAAAGGCACGGACCTGGAGGCGCTTTTAGCAATAGGGCAAGGAGCAGATGATGGCAGGTTGGTTACCGAAAGATTTGGACTCTGAAGTAAAGGTGCCTTTGTGAAAACTTTCAGCTGAAAGGGAAAAAAAGGGAAAGCTTTTCTTTAGGTTATTCTGCGATGAAGCCATTGCCTTTGATTAATGCTTTTTTATCTGAGGTCACAGTGTTCTTTCCTTGAGGTCAAACATGTTTATGTATGATAGCTTGATGCTAAGAAAAAAGCAAATTCTACAAACATTTATTGAATGCTGGCCATTTCTAAGCTTTGAGCTCAAGCCGGCATGTATCTGGGTGCGCTGACCAGTCTGATGATCCACCGCAGGCAAGGCTGAGCTTCATTCACTGTCTGTCTCTAGCATCATTATCCCCTTCAGATAATTACTTTGATTAAATTATATATCTTGCAAAAGCACCTCATAAACTTCTCAGTACCATACAAATGTCAGTTAATAACAATAATAAAGTTATTTGACAAGAGCCGTTGTTCATCAGACATTTGGAACATTTTTTGGGATTATAAGTAGGATAGTATATTTGATTAAAAAAAAGTAAATAAGACTGACATTCATTACCATTTTAAGACCTTAACATAGAAGTGATTCAAATTGTAAACTCTGGGCACTATTTTCTTCACAGGCTGTTTCACATTGGGTGACTATAACCTTGCATGTTTTCCTGAACAGTTTTCATCTTCTTGATTTTTACAGTTTCCATATGTGATGATTACTAGCGAGATGACTTTTTGCCCATCCTGTGGATATAAATGAGTGAATCGCTTTGCTTAGAATAGCAACAGCTTTCTTTCAAGTAATTGATTGTTTCTGTTTCTATGGAAACCAACTTAATAAATCAAAATAGGGGAAAGCAGTTTTTCACTATATGAAATTAAAAAAAAAGTAATCAAAATAGTTTGAGGTTTTCTTTTTCTCGTGCAGATTTATATTACCTGGTGAAATGGACATTGACGGTGTCTCCTACGAGGATCTTTCGCCACCTGGCGAAGAGCCTGCCAAGAAGAAAAGGGAGAAGGGGCTCAGGAAGACGCGAGAACTGCTCCAGCTAGTGGACTTTTCCAAGTAAGTGATTTATTACTGTTCATTTATTACTGTTAGTTTCTTCAAAATAACTAACAATCTAAGTGTGCTCTTTACTAGTGATAATTGCTCTGCATTATTTCAGCAACTTAAATGCATTTAGTACCATTTTATCCTTGTGCTTTTGTGTCCCGTTCCATGAGTTTTGGACTGAATGGAAAATTGATCATTTTTGTTCTATTTTAGATCTTACAAAAATGTGCTTGTAGGTAAATATAAGTGGCTTAATAACAGTTATTCAAAACAGGTTAACGCTGGAACAAAAGGAACTTTGCCGTTGTAGACTGAAACTGTTGACTTACTTAGATCGGCTTGCAACATACGAGGTAAGAAGGCATTTTAATCAAGCCAATTATGTTTATTGGCGTTGCCCTTATAAATGCTTGGCTGCCTTGATAGCTGATGTTCTTGGTTGCTGAAACTGTTTATGTGGGAAAAGCTTATTTGTATCAGAGCAAGTTCTCGCATAATCAGTTTTGGTAAAGGTTAGAGGTCTGTGAAAGGCCAAAGCTGCTGTGTTAGACTAGGAAATAGCCATGCATCAGCCACTTCAGAGCACCTGTGTTTCCTAGGCTTACAATCCTTCTCATTCCTCTTACTTTTATTTCGCATTTAAATTTAAGGTTATGGCATGTAGCTGTCTACAGTACCGAAGTCCAGTTTACACTGGGTTTTAATAATATGAAGATATCTGACTCATTTTACTTTAATGATTTGTTAGTTGTTTGAATTTAATTGGTTAAACTTTGATCCTAATTATGGCCAAAATTTGACACTTGAACTTAAACTGTACTTCAAAGTTGTTTCTTCAGGGCCACACACACAGATGTCCCTTGTTGGGCATTTCAGTAGCACTCTGTACTGAAAGGTTAAGCTATTGTTAAAGGTATAAGAAACATTTCATAAAATATACATAGTTTAGATTGCTTTTCTACATGACTCTCATAGCTTAAGTTATGCAGGATTTGATATAAATGTCTCACCTTTGCAGTGTGGCTTCATTTGCTGGTCACCTCCTCCATCTGTCTGAGCATCCCTTGTGGGCACACCCCTCTTGGCTCTAGGGACTGGCACACACGAGGGACTCAGTAAATGTCACATCTGAAGGTGTGCTTTCTATTCCCAGAATAATGGGGGTATTTAGTACTTCCGATGCCTACTGGCAAATAAAAGCATTTGATTCTCCACCCATTAATATAATAGAAATGTTTTCAAACAAAATGCTAGTGACGAAAGAGGGTTATTTCTATAGTTATATGAAATTATGGTAATGTGTATATCATTTCATGCAAACAAGTTGCACAAAACTCCTAGTAGTTTTATCTGTAGTACAACTACTTTGACTGTTGGATAGTCATATTATTTTAAAATGCATCCTTTTATTATGTCTGAGTTTTGAGATATTTTGAGGTGATATATAAAAGCGCACTGTGTATTGCCAGCATTGGTACAGATGGAGTTTATTATTTTTTATACTTAGCCGTAGTTTCACTGTTGGTGAGATCTTAAAAAGAAAAAGTTCCATTAAATGTTCAGAGTTTGACTATCCAGTTTATTTTATTAGCCTTTAGTTAGTGAGTTGCTGTTTCCTATTTGACATTAGTAAGTACGTTTATTATTACATGGTAATAGTGACAGTTTAAGTATTTGTTGAGCCACTAAAAGGGAATTAAGGTAAGCCTTTGGAAAGTAGTGAAGTTGATTAATTTGGCCGTTAAAACTTAGAAATGAAGATGTTCAGATATAATGGCTACCCAGCTAGCTAGTGGTAGAGATGGACATTGCATTTTAATCGTAGGGCATGGCTAATTTTATTTATTCTGTTATAAAAGAGATAAAATGGATTCACTTAAATTTTACGTGAGTGCCTAATGTATGCCGGATATTAATGCCAGTGCTGTCAGAAGAGAGATGAACAGGGAATATCCTTAAGGAGTCCTGACTGTGTAGGCAACGTGATGATAATGAAGATATGGAGATGTGATGAGGAAGCACAGTGTTACGTTTGTCCTGGGAAGTCTGAGAAGACTTGGAAGTGGTATTTCAACTTGTCCTTAAGGAAAAGAAGGCTCACTTAGGGGCTCTGGGCGTACGATGTGGGGGACGCAGGAATGGAAGCTCCGTAAGGGAAGGGGTCTTGTCTTGTTTGCTGCAGTGTCTCTGGAGCTTGGAACGATTCCTGACTTGTCGAGCTCAGCAAATGTTTGTTGAAGGAACTAACAGTTAAGAGAATACCTTAAAAAATACCATCACATTTGTTGAGGACTTATTGTTTGTCAGCCAGTGTCTTACGTGCTTAGTGCAGATTACTTCTTGACATTTCTTTCAGGCAAGTATTGTAATCCTCTCCAGCTGAGGCCTAGAGAAGGTGAGTATTCTGTCTAAATCAATAGGAAGCAAGAATGCATAGCTCGATGCCTCCAGTTCATCAGGCTGTGCCGTTCATCAGGGAGCTGGAAGACAGGCCTAGTGGTGTGGAGGAGGTTGGCCTGGTCCTGAAGGAGTAAGCTAGTCAGGGTAGCTGGACAGTAGGGGTCGGGAGTGGGTGGCCTGGAGCGAGGCGAGGAGAGGTGATGAGAGTAGTTGGTGGCCACATTTTGAAAGGTCTGTCCTGCTGTGTAAGAAGCTGAATTGAATTTTTATCAGAAGTTGAGTTTGGGAAAGAATGAGAAGTGAGGATGTGGAGATGGGTTGTGAGCAGGAAGTTTTATTGTTAAGGGGAGCGGAGAAGATGGCGGGAGTGAGAGGAGGGTGTGAGGTAAGCGTTGCTTTTTTGCTAGAAGGGAGAAGTCGTTTGTGTGCTATGGGAATGAGCCAGCAGAGGGTGAGGAGGAATTTATGCACAGAAGACGGGGGAGATACTTGCATGGTTTCAGAAATGGAAGCAGTGGGATCCAGAGCAGGAGTGGAGTTTTGAGGCTTTTAAAAAAGGAGCAGATATATGTGTTTTTCTCTATTGTAACTGAAGGAAGAAACATCATGGATACAGGTAGATACGTAGTTTTTTGGTAGGTTGGAAAATGAGGGACTTCCCATTTAACAGCATGAGTTAAAAAATATACAAAGCAAGATTTTCAGCAGAGAGTGAGGGCAGGGGAATAGGATGTGGAAGGTCTAGAAAGAATGAAAAGTTCTTAATGGCATAGCAAAGAAAACTTCTTTGGGAAATGTAGTAGCATTGAGGGAGTAAGATCTATTTGAATTTTTTTGTCTTGAATTTATAGGTTTTTAGCTTTTTATTATAAACATTTTCAAACCTTCATAGAAATACAGAGAATGATGAACCCTGATTTACTCATTGGCCAGCTTCAATCATTTCTAACATTTTGCCAATCTTGTATCTTTTATTTTCCACCTTCCCACTCCTGCCTTTTCTTTCAGTTAAGTATTTTATAGCAAATTCCAGATACCTTTTTACCCATTCATATGTATGTGCCTTTAACGGATAAGGACTTAGATCACCACAACAGCACTATTATTCCTAACATAATTAGTAGTCGTTCCCTGATACCGCCTGATACCCGCTTCATGTTCAAACTTCCCAGGTTGCTTCCAACTGCCTTTTTTTTTTTTTTTTTT